AAAAAAAAAAAAAGACTCAAACCTACATGTTTTATCTTCAGATACTGTATTTCTTCAACCTTATAACCTATTCCTCTTCTCTCCCCACCATTTTAAGGTTTCTGAAGTAGGACTGCATCTTAAAATGTATTATATAATCAGTATAGTATTATTTCTGCTTTTCCTTGAAAGGTCTTAAGTCGATGGTGGGTCATATAATCAATAACATCCTAGAATTAGGAAAAATACATAGTAGATGAAAACTAGACTTACAAATACTTATGTGAATTAGAAATATGTCATAAAATTGCTTCAGTTTAGGTTTAAATTTAATCTTAATCTCTTCTACACTAAATGATTAGTAAATAGAAATAATTATAAATGTACTTCAACACACTCATATTTGATAATGATTTTAAAAAACTGAAGCTATAGGTGGAAAACTAACCTTTCAAACAAAACTGAAGTTCCATAAGGACAAGGACCATCGTGTCGGTTTTGTTTACAACTATATCCCAAGCACCCAGCACAATGCTCGAAACATATATGCAACCCAATTTTACTGAATGAATAAATGAATAGACAGCCAAGTCTATCCAGGAATTATTATTAATGTGGTGGAATGTTCTATTCTTAAGAATGGAAAAAAATGTGGTTGAAACAGATGAATACCTTTAATTCAACATCCATCATAATAAAAGGACATTATTGTCTTGAAGGGACTAGTGCTGGTTGGTTTAATTACACAGTAGCTCACATTTAGTAAAAGAAGTAGATCCTGGTTAATATTATACAGATTTTATTAACTCACATATAAAAACGTAGTCGTAATCTTTTACAGCAGCAGGGTGCTGCAACAAGCAGTTAAAACTCGACCTTGATCTTGGGGAAGATAACCGTACTGTACTGCAAGAATAAATCCTTCAAATATAACAGTTTTACATCAGCTGTGTAATACTATAGTGCTTATATATCTTTTTCTCATTAATATCAGTGCATAGAACTGGATAAGTGGAAATAAAAAGTACTGGTATACAGTACTTTCCTTGGGTGAAAACAAACACATTAAATCTTTTTGGTTTTTCCTGCATTCCCCCACCCCCATTTTTGTAGTCAACAAGCATTTGTTCCGCTAGGTTGTACCAGTCTAGGTTCTGCAGACTTTCCTATTTTAACTTAATAACACATATTGTACACTTTGGTTCTCAGGGGTTAGCAGACCACGGCCAGACTGCTGCCTGTACGAAGTTTGACGGGACCACAGCCACATTCACTTATATCCTGTCTATGGCTGCTTTTATACTGTAATGGTGGAGTTAGAATGTGACAAAGACTCTATGGCCCACAAAGCCTAAAATATGTACTATCTAGACCTTTACAGAAAAAGTTTGTCAATCCCATTGTAATGAGCATTTCATTCCTGATAAAATCAACTGCTAGATATACTTGTGCGACTCCTCATACTTTCTGAAATAACTAAAAGGAGTATAAAGACCAGCTGGAGTTAAGCTTCCTAAATGATAATCCTTAACACTTATTTCATTTTCAAAACTCTACAGTTTCAGAAGATGACTTCTCAGCAGCAACATGAATAGCACATCTAAATGACTTTTTAAATTTTAAAGTTTAAATTTTAAAATTTCAGACTGAAACAATCAAATTAAAGAGCAATATTCTA